CAGTGTAACTGAAGCCCTTCACCATGGGTGACACTTGCTTTTTTCTTTTTCTTTTTCTTTTTCTTTTTCTTTTTCTTTTTCTTTTTCTTTTTCTTTTTCTTTTTCTTTTTCTTTTTCTTTTTCTTTTTCTTTTTCTTTTTCTTTTTCTTTTTCTTTTTCTTTTTCTTTTTCTTTTTCTTTTTCTTTTTCTTTTTCTTTTTCTTTTTCTTTTTCTTTTTCTTCCTTTTCCCTTTCCTTTTCCTTTTCCTTTTCCTTTTCCTTTTCCTTTTCCTTTTCCTTTTTTCCTCCAGCTAATAAAATGAAGTCATTGCTTATAAAAACCAACAAACATTTTACAGGTGGGTTTCAGGAATCTGTCTCCTCAAGAAAAGCAAAGCCTGTCCTGGCTGCAGGGGTACATGGGTCAAACAACAGCAAGAAGCCTGGTTTAATTAAAAAAAATAATTCATTGGATCAAAAGTTTATTTGGGCCATTTTACGATGCCACCAAACTGCTCTTGATGTCCTTGTAACTTTTTTGTGGCTTTGCTGGCAAATGGATGCCAAACTCCAGTAAGTCCCCAGGATGTGGACCTTTACTGTGACTAAAGCAAAGAGCAGGGACTTCGTTTCTTCTTATAGCTCAGAGACAAACCCATCCCTATTTTGCCTCTCCTCCAATTTTCATTCTCTTACCTGTAAAGCAGGAATAACAAATGCACCTGTTTGAAGTGATGGAAGATACACAGCTGGAGGAGCTCTCTCTCTCCCTGAGAGAGGACCTGCTGGACCCTCACCCCCCACTGCATCTCCACGGTCCCTTCCCATCCATTTCTACCCTCTCTGGTGCCACCATCCAGCCAAGCTGAGCTCCAGACCCCAGGATGGAGGGGACCACAGTGACATCAGCCTGCTGGCAGACAGGCAGGGAGCCTCCAGCACACTGATGCTTCTCCTGTTACTCACCCAGGGAAGGAATTTGGAGACAGCAACACATGGAGCATGTGGCATTTCCAGGGCCTGGAAAATGGAAACACACACACCAATTCCTGTTTGTCCCAGCTGTGTGCTCAGAGGGGATTTGGAGGTTAAGGCAGTTAGAGAGCCCCTTATTTGTACAGGAAATTTTGAAAATAGTGGCTTTAATTAAAGAAAAAAAAATTCTATGCAAAAAAAAAAAAAAATCCCTGCCACATGTTTAAATCAGCACAACTAAAAGGGGGGATTTAGGGACCCTGTGAATTATTTCCACCTTCCACAGTCACATTTCAGGGGACATTTCCATCATTCCTCATTCCAGAGGGTATCACTATCTCTGCACAGAAGTGTTGGCAGAAGCAATGTCACCTCCTGGCCCACTTAGTGCCAGGGACAGCCCTGCAGATGAGACCAGTGACCTGCCAAGGCAGCAGACCTGCCCCACGCTCCCCGAGTGCTTTGCTGGTTAAAGTACCTAAACCAGACTAAAAAAAATCACATCAGCAAACCCTTTCTGTTCTCTCCTGAAAATGTCCTGTATTCCAGTTCCACTATTGAATAAAACGTCACAATTATCCCAGCACCAGTCTAAAAAAAATAAGGCACAGGTGTTTAGTTCTAGGCTGAGCCTTTGCAGCTCCCCACAAGCCAGGCAGGCTTGATGCAGACCCACACCACATCTCCAGGTGGGAAAAACCTACCCAGACAATTGCTGCTGTTAACAAACCTTGCCAAGTATTGTCCTCTCTGGCAACAATTTCCCACAGGTTTTATATTATTAACCACAAAAAAGAAGGAAAATATAAAACAAAAACTAACGCAACACAAAACTACAAACCAAGTGTGTTTCTCACAACCATCACTCCAAAGGAATTGCTAAAGCAGTCCTGGCAATATTATATTTAATTTAGACCTGACCTGCAGTAAATTTGAGTCTTGAAGCTTCTTCACCTTAAGAGGGTGAGACCTCCCACCCCTGCACAGCATCGACAGCGCTGCCCTGAGCTGAGTTGCACCAACTCTGAGTTTCCCAGAGAGAAAAACCCTGAAGTTCCCAGCTCCACCGATACCCACACATCACAGAATCACAGTATCATAGTGGTTGGAAAAGACCTTTAAGATCGAGTCTAAACAACACAACCCCTCCTGAGCATCCCTACGAATCGAGCCCCAAAGGGGAACGAGCCACAAACCTGTGGGGAGCAGCGCGGCTTTCCCTGGAGTCAGCCGGGAGGTGCGATGGATCCAGCTACATTCTTAAATTAGGGGAGAAGCAGCCCCGGCGCCTCATCTGCTCCTCGGCGTGATGAGAGATTTTAATTCCCAGATGTCAGGAGGGATAAGAAAGGGGAGGGAGAGAGGGACAGCGATTCCCCCACCTCCCTCTCACCACGCTCGGCCCCTGCGTGCGGCTAAATAAAGCAGGCACGAGCAGCAAGAGCCTGCTGCTGCTGCTGTGAAAAACTGTGAACAGCTTTTAGTGGTTTTGTCAACTAAATACTAAAGCTCTGTCTAGGAAGCTGCACGCTGAGTTCCTCGAGCGCAGCAACAAGTCCTGGCTCCCACCCACTGTCAGACTCCCAGGGATGAAGTCAGTCCAGCCCCGTTCACATCCCATTAAATATTTTTAAGAGCCCAGCCTTTGCTCTGAAGGCAAATTGTGTTGTATTTGTTTAAGGAAATTAAGCACATCTGTAAGTTTTACAAGGCCAGAGGTTGAATCATGAACTGGAGCTTGATGGTGCTGCAGACTTCCCAGCTGTGGGATACAGCCCTGACCTCCACCAGCATGTGGTCCCCAGCTCCGGGAGCGCCTGGGACAGCCGCCCAGGTCCACGCCAAATCTTATTTTTGAAAGATTTTGTCCTCGTTGCCAGGGATGGAACAACTGACAGTGGCATTTCTCCTTACAAATGGAGGCCAGATTTTCTGTTGCATCTCCAGAGACTGTCAGCATCACTCTCCCATTGTAAGAGTGAGCTGCAAGAAACTCACAATTACCCTTCTACAGAAAACCCAGGTACCTTTGAAACTGTCAGGTTAGGTGGAAACAAATCACAGTTTCCAAATATTTTGCACAGTAAACAAACATTTGTTAGTTCATTGCAGTTTTGTTTTATAATCTAGTAAGTATTTGAAAACATCACAATATACAGACCAAAATATAACCAAGATCAAGGGTTGAACTCAATCCTTGTGGGTCCCTTCCAACTCACAATGTTCTATGATTCTATGATACCAAAAATGAAGCACTTTTAAATCTTATTAAAACAAAACACGGAACATCAGTAGCCTGTGGAGAGAGGGTTGTCACTGCCCTACATGTAAATACCCCAAATTACCTCTCCTGTGATTCCAGTCGGATTTTAATAGTTGCTCAGCTTTGCTACAGTTAAAACTAGGAGAAGGTGAGAAAGGAAAGAGCACAGATCTCCTGCACTTCACTTATGGGGAAGTTCAGACCCAGAGCTAAAATCCATCCTCTGTTTATGTCAGAAACATCTGGAGCTATTTCCAGTGCTTATCTTCACATTGTTGCTTTCTGGCTTACCTTTCCCAAGGTGCCCATGAAACGCTCTGGTCTCCTGGCTTTGACTTTAGTTCAAGCCCAACACTCTGAATTATACCTTGGGGCCACCACAAGCCCTCCCTGAACAGCAACACCAACCAGAATTTAAAGAGAATAAAGGCAGATGGATGTTGCTTTGTTTGTGGACCGAATAGTTGGAAATAACTGTGAGTATGTAGACAAATGGCTTAAAAGATTGTCTGGTTTCACTTAGGGGCTGGAAGGACCCCAATGGATTATCAGTGTAAACATCTTGCTTGGACCATGTTCCAGGATCTCTCTGCTCCAAGTAGTCCTATTACCTCTGCACTAGCACTGAGGGAGCACATATCCCTTTATCCCAAGTTAAAAAAAAAGGCAGTCAGCAGTAATGCAATAAGTAATATGTAGCTGACACCAGATTTTCCAAGAAAGTCAGCTCCCACTTTCACACAAATCAAAATGACTTTTTTTTTTGGCTTTATTTTTGCTTTTTTTTTTAGACATGGTTGGTGGCCAAAAGAGCTGCACTGAGGGACCTGCCCTAAGCAGGAGTGCTGGCAATCAACCTGCTGTATCCACAGCGTTGCAGGCTGATGGCAAGCAGGATGCTCTGTGAACTGGAAAGTAAGAGATCTCCCCAGTTTCTCATTATTACCTGTTGTTCCATATTTAGCTCACTGCCAGGGTAGTTTGCATATGAATATTCTGCATCGCCTACCAGTGCAGTCATCCTGGGAGCAGCAGGGCCTAGGGGGGGTGGATTTTGGTGGCTTTCACTCATTTCTGTTCCCTCCAGAGTCAAACTCAGACTGTGACATAAGTCCTCTTGGGCAGATGGTGTTTAGGCTCTGTCCTTTGCCCACTGCCTCCCATCACTAGGTTGGTTGCAGCCTGCGACTTTTGGAACCTCTGCCTGGCTCCATGCTGAGGTGGAGCTGGCTAATGAATTGAAGCATTCTGAGAGGATGAGACCACCAAAAGTGCAATGATGGAAGCCTCACCTTTGCAAGAAATTCAGCTGGGAAGAGCAACCAGTCCTGGCTGTGAGCATGGCTAAGCCAAGAGAGTAGCAGGATCCTTAGACTTTCTTTACAAGGAAGCACACATCGCTGGATTCATTTCCTTATTTTCTGGACAGAGTTGATGGCACGGCTGATCAGGCCATCTGGAAAGCACGTTGTGTTCTTGATAGACCACACAGACAACTTAAGGGAGCTCAGACATACCTACTTGCTTGGTATCCAACTTCTTACCAGCTTGTACCACCTGCCTTGCAGCTCAGCTGGGTGAATGGCTTGTTCTAAGGCTTCATGATGTCCTGAACTCTCCCACTGGCATTACAAAGGAGCTGCGAGAGCTGAGACCCTCTCAAGGTCAGGTAGAGCCAAATATTTCAACACCATCAAAACCCAAGACTTGCCCATTAGAACATATTTATTTGAAAATATATTAAAATGCCTGGCTAACATTTCAGAGTGAAAAGTCAAGCTTGGTCCCTCCCCACAGTCCATCCTTGCTTAGTAGACTGTCCTGCCTTTCCAAACAGCAGTAAGATGAGACTCCTTTGCTCATTCAACGGCTTCCATGACTTCCATCACAAGAGTTCGTGGTCCTGTCATGATGAGGCTGCTGATGGTTTGATAGTCCAGATGTAAAACGTACATACCATTCACTGAGAAAACAAACTGGCACACCTGCAAGGAGAGGAAGGGCAGGTTACCTTCAGCTGATGTCTTCAGGGCAACTTCTGCCCATAACTGACTAGAGCCAGAGGCTGCAATGCAAATAACTGGCTAGAAAATCCTGTAAACCCTAAAGCATTTACCACTCCACAAGCTGCACTAATAAACACTGTGCTACAATCACTATATCACCAAAAAGGGACCAAAGGGATTTAGACTGTGAGCTAGCAGAGAAAAAAAAAACACCATTCATTTATGAGCAGTGGTTCATTTCACAGATGGAAATGAGGCACAATATTAACAACTAGCAATCTGGTAGCAAATGAGATTAGGTAAAGAGAAATTAACTGGGCTCTGGAGTAAATGAAACAAATTCATCCATCCCCTTTCAATCCTGCCTGAAGCAAACCAGGAGTCACACTCTACCTCTGAAGAATCCCATTATTTCAAATATCCATGTGACTTTACCTTCATCCCTGCAGCTGCAGCAGGTCCTCCTGGATCCACTGCCTGGATGTGGCAAGGTCTTCCTCCTCGGACCACAAACCCCCAGCCCACCGCATCCCCTACAATCTACAAGTAGAACAAAAGGGGTTTAAAAACCAAGGAATGGGTTGGATAGAGGAGATGCAACAGTTCCTAGTGAGATGGAGAGCTCTGCTCATGATCCTAATCTATCACGGGTGGGAGAAAAAGGGCTGTGCACCAAATGAGGTGCAGAACCACAGATTAATTGCTCTTTGCAAAGTTGTTTTCTGATTAATATTCCCTGTCAGCAAGTGCAGAAGAGTGAAGCAGCATGCAAGTTGAAGTGCAAGGCATGCACCGAGAGCGTGTCGAGAACATTTCCAGAGCACGCACACGGTGCCTTTTCTTTGGCACAGGGGAGCATTTCCAGGGTGGAAGTAGCCACTCTTAATTTTTCCCCACACTGAGATCATCTCAGTCTGTCAGAGCAATTTGCTGTAATTCTGTGCCCATCTGATGAGACTAAAAGAGAAAAGGAATTCCCAAAGGACTTTGCACATTACCCATAGAAATAAATATCAGCAACTGCACAGCTAAGCAGAAGGAAATGAGCCATGAAAGGCCCAGGCTGGCAGAGTTGAAGGGCAGGGCAAGAGCATTCAGGACAAGAATGAACAGCATGTCCTCGTACATGCCACACTAATCACCAGCTTTATTTTTCTTGCTCCTTCCCATCAATTTTTACAGCACAGTTTATTTGGGAACCTAATCCACAGCTCTTCTGTAACCCACCTTGTGTCAAACCAGTATGGCAAGACAGTCCTCATGCTTCCTAAACTCGCCACGGTGAGATTCCCCCTTTCAAAGGTGGGCAGGAAAGGACTGAGAAGTTTTTACACAAAAATAAACAAGCATGATAGGATCTGCAGGGCAGGAACTGTGTTCTACACAAAAATAAACAAGCATGATACGATCTGCAGGGCAGGAACTGTCTTGCAGTATTCACACCCAGCACCCACCAGCCCTGCCTTGACTGGTCCAACAGCTTTAGAAAGAATTCAAAAAGCAAAAGCCCCGAACTCAGGTTGGCTGCAGCATCCTGGAGATTCTGCAGGGTGTTTATTTGGACCATGAAAAAAAGCCTATCCAAAGAAAGGGAAGAGTGGCCCTCAGATGTTCCCTGTTCAGTGCTGCTCCATCAGATGCTGATGGACCATATCAACATATCTGACTGGCAACAGGAACCTGAAAGATGCATAAAGATGTGCATAAAGGTGATATCCGTGTGACACAGGGGAGGCATCAAAGTCTCAGCTGTCACAAGACCTGATTGATTCTACAGTTTGCTGGATGGAGCTGGATGAAGAAGTATAAATGGATTTATTTGTGTGTGTGTGTGTGTCCAGGAGACGTTCTCTTTCCTGACCTACCCCTTTCATACACATTCAACTTAAAGCAGAGGCTGCACACATTGTCACCCACAAGAATATCTGAAGATGTCAACCCACGAAGACTCATCAAGAAAGAGTTGTGATGATGTGACATGCAATCAAAGTTTCAACAGAGGTCAGAGCAGCAGTGGAAAGCTACCAAAGAGTCATCAGAAGGCTCAGTCCTGTTGGATTAGCAAGACCATTTGCTATGGTCACTTACAGTTAGTGTTTTCTTGATGTAGGGGGCCCCAGGGGACAGGAGCTCTTCATTGGTGATAGGTCTCTTCAACACTAGAGCAGAAGGTGACAGATCCTATCAGAACCAAAGGTTTCATACAATAAAGTGCATAAAAAGTTGCACAACTTTTCAAATCAAGACTCAGAGGTGAGGCTGACCCTCTCCTCTGCAAGCCACCAAGCTGACAGTGGATGGGTTTAGACCTGAAGCTTGAACTGGCCCATGCCCTGAAGGAACAGATGTATCCTGTGCAACAACGGGGCAATGCAGAAGCCCAGACCTGATTTGGGGTTGCACTCGGCCACGGGAGGGAATATCAGCGTAGGAGTAGGGTTGAAGTAGGAATTGGAGTTTCCAGCAAGGGAAGTGATGCTGCTCCTTCGAACCGCTGAGACAATTTTGATCTCCTTGTTGGTCTGGACTGAAAGAGGTAGAAATAAGAATTACCCAAGGAAAGAACAGACTAGTTTAAAATAACAAACTTCCCCCTCCACCCTGACCCACATCTGAAAGACAAGCACATGCTGAAGGTGGCATCTGAGCTTAGAAAGTGTAAAACTAGTTTCAAAGAAAGATCAAGAGCTGAGTTGATGATAAGCTGAGTTATTTTCCTGGGATGGGGAACTGTCACAGAGACTGCTGCTGCATCATGACATCCACCACAAACCAGCAGGATGGGTGGCCACCTCATGGGAAGCCTGGAGGAACACCCTACGCTTTGCTGGAGCAAGACCCTCAGAGATACTCGGGTAGTGTAATCCTTGTTTTCACACCCCTCCACAGACACATCCACAGTTACCAGAGAGAAAGCTGGTGTTGCCTGGGTCCGGGTTGAGCTTGCGAAGACAGAAGGGGCTGTCTGGGCTCTCGGAGAGGGTACGAGAAGAGTTCTCGTTGAGTAACTCTGTGAGACGACGCCTCCGTCGAAAGTTGGTCCAGAATTGGTAGAGGTTGTCACTGTCAAAGAAGTGATGCCTATTGGAGACTAGGAGAGAACAGGGGAGGAGGGAGAGGCTGAGGGGGTGTGAAAAGTTGATAGCAAATATATTGAGGGACCCAAATGAATTTATTTTAATGTCTCTGCATCGAGTTGCAGTTTTTCTGACTCTTTCAGAACGTTACCTTCAGGGAAGGAGGAACAGCAGGGCCACCTCCCCAGGAGATGTCATCTCCTAGAGGTGCACCACCAAGTCACAGCCCTCTGTCACCTGTCCCAAGACACTCAGAGGACTCCCTCCTTCTGAATTGAAAGTTTAATTCCTGCAGATGCTTACGATCTCCGGCCAAGCAGAGATGAACTTCCCACCCTCACAACCCAGCCCTCCAAGCCCAGGGGTGGATCCCAGTCCTGCGGCTGGAGGCTTTGAAGAACTGAAGAGCAATAGCTCAGATTTCAGCTCAAAGCCTTTGTGGGTGGTAGAAGATTGCTCCGATTTCAAAGGTCACCAGCTCCAAACATAGAACTAAAAGGCCTCATTGCCATCTCTAAGTGGGCACTTGACCAGCACTTGTTGCGTGACATGAATGGGGGTTTGTTCTTAGCACAGCCTTCACAGCTACGCTCATCTCTTGCTTTCCATCCCAGCTCCAGCCAAACCTTTGCTCACCATGCTGAATGATCCCATGCTCTAGCAGCGCCCGGCCCAGCTCCACCGCTTCCTTTCGGTTCTCCACTTCTCCCTCCTGAACAAGCCAGTCAATCATCTCACAACCCACGAAAGTCCTCTGGTACTTCACTGAGTTCTCCTCTCTCACCTTCAGAATTGATCCTTCCATGCTCACCAGCCTAGCACAGAGGTGGGACAAGGCTCTTGTGATGCTGTACAGCCCAGCCATCCCCCATGGGAGCTGCAGCCAGCCAAAGCAAGGCCAAGAGAAGTGGACAAAGTGTTTCAGCCAAAACATTCCTGTCTGGGAGCAGTGGGAAGGGGAGGAGAAATGCAGAGCTGCAGTCAGGGAGCTTTGTAAATCATCATCACACCAGAGGAAGCAGCTTCAGCAAAACCAGTTCATCTGTGACCTCAGATAAAGCCAAGCAAGCAACCAAATGTGTGCAACGACTGGCAGAGAGTCCAAAGTGATGGAGAATGTGAGTTTCAGTGAACACCTATTCTGTTTGCAGCACGTGTGAGAGCTAAATCCAGTGTCTCCACGAGAGGGTGCAGCAGCCTCAGCCACGAGATGTGCTGGATGTTCTCCCTGCTCCCGTGGCTACTGCAAAGTACAAGGGATGCACGTCTGCCAGAGGGGCAAGGAGACACCCCAAATCCCCACCTGCCTGGCTGAAAGGCTTCTCCAGTGCCTGTTTGTGAATCTGATTGTCAGGGTTTGAGGGTGGAGAAGATGTGAAGAGGCTGTTAAAGGAAACAGGTCCAGAGGGTGGTCTGTGGTTGAACACAGCCTAACAAAATTACTCGTGAGGTGCCTGGGAAGATTTAGAACAAGAAACAATCGACCCAAAGAAAATTAACACTTGGAGGTAGAAGGAGATTTCTTTAGTGTCTGAGAAGTAGTTTTTCCATTATGCATTTTGCAAATAGACTAAGGGAGGTGCAGGGCTGCAGGCCCACAATGGCCCCGAAGATCCTGTACCCTGCTGATTCTGGTGGGACAGTAGTCCTAGTAGAGCTGTTGGAAGTAGCTCACCCATGGAGGCTGGGGGAGTGCTGGGAAGAGCCACTGGACATGCCCACTCAAACTGCCTGAACCCTCGTGCTTCCCTCTATCAGATCCCAGAACCTGCACTGGGGTTGGAGCCCTTGGAAGCATCCATGAGTTCTGAATACAGCTCCTGGCCCATCCCCAAAGAGACTGGTCGTCCTGCAACTACAACAGGACTCAGGAAACACCATTTCCCAACGCTCCAGCACAGGCACAGAGAAGGAAGAGAAAAGCCACTGCAGCTGCAGCTCCCAGCTGTAGAGCACCATCAGCAAGAGCAGCCAGCAAAGCGCATCCCAATGCCCCTGGCTGAGAGAGTTTTGCAGGGGAAGGACTCACGTACTTCTCGTAAAGACTCTGCCCTCTCATGAAGACCTTCATGTCCTTACTGAGAGGGAAGGTCCCATCATCCTTGCGGAAGCGGTACAGCAGCTTGGCGTCCTTGTAGTCCGAGTGCTCGTCGCAGACTGAAAGGAGGAGTTCAGAGCAGGGATGTCAGTGCTGTGGGTGTCTGTCAGTCCATAAGGGACAGACAGAGCTGCACAGAGCACAGACTCAGCAGGGTGTTATCTCTAGGTATCTCTATAGGGGTTGCATGTGATGTCCTTCTCTATGCTGCCCCTCATGCCATGGATCAAACAGCATCCGAGCCTTCAGTCCCCAAATTAGGTACCTGCAACCCATGCAAGTGGGAGAATCATAGAATCACAGACTGGTTTGGGTTGGGAGGGACCTTAAAGCTCATCCAGTTCCAACCCCCCTGCCAGCAGCAGGGACACCTTCCACTAGACCAGGTTGCTCAAAGCCTCATCCAGCCTGGCCTTCAACACTTCCAGGGAGGAGCAGCCACAGCTTCTCTGGCCAACCTGGGCCAGTGTCTGACCACCCTCACAGTGAAGAACTTCTTCCTCACATCTCATCTAAATCTACTTTTGTCCATTTTATAATTATCACCCCTTGTTCTGTAAGTCCCTCCCCAGCCTTCCTGGAGCCCCTTCAGGTACTGGGAAGCCACTAGAAGGTCTCCCTGGAGCCTTCTCTTCTCCAGGCTGAACAGCCCCAACTCTCTCAGCCTGTCCTCACAGCAGAGCTGCTCCAGCCCTCAGATCATCCTGGTGGCCTCCTGGACTCACTCCAATAGATCCATGTCATTCTTATGTTGGGGTTGAGTCCCACTGAATGGGCATTGAGAAAACTCAAGTTTGAATCTACGTTTTGACCCAGACATTAAAATGTTCATTAGAAAAAAACTGGGATTTTTTTTTTTCATTTAAATTTTCATGTTTAGCTTTAGACTAAAAGAAAACAAACAATTGTCTCAATCATCTTTTTTTTTTTAGAATTCTACTGCTGCATGTAAAAACACTTTGAGGAGAGAAGGAAAACCCTAACGCTGCATCCACAACCCCATTAAATCACCTGTCAAAAATACTTGTAAACTAAAACGCACAGTGACATCAACTTTTCCACATCATTTCATACCAGCCCTGCCTGATTCATCTCTATGGCAAACTGACCTCAAGAGAGATGTTTCTTCAGAACTGGGTGTGTACAACTGGAATAATCGAACTGATATGAAAAGCCTCAGTTTCATATCTACCCTGGGAATGAGCACAGTCTGTAACTGGTGGTTGTTAAGTGCATGCAACG